AACAGCTCCCAAACGCACCATGCAGCACTAGACCGATTAGCACTGGCTGATAATCGTTTTGGCCTATGCCTTACTCCATCAAAATGCAAAGTACTTCTCCAAGATTGGCAGGGACCCACACCTGCGCTAACGCTTTGTGGTGATCTGCTAGAAGTCATTCAAGAATTCAAATACCTTGGAAGCCATTTTAGCACCCGTGGGATTGAAGATGAGGTTACGAACCATATAGCAAAAGCTCGTGCTGCTTTTGCCAATCTCCGCCACCTGTGGCGCAGACGCGACGTCAATCTCGCCCTGAAGGGCAGAGTTTATAACGCAGCCGTCCGTTCAACTCTCCTACATGGTTGTGAAACCTGGCCCATAAGGTCGACAGACATAAAGAGGCTCGTCACATTCGATCATCGCTGCCTGCGCAGCTTAGCTCATGTCTGGTGGGAACACCGCGTGAGCAATGAGCGTGTTCGACGTCGCTTATTTGGTGCAGGAAGAGCGAGTGAACCGCTCAGCACCATTATATCACGCACCAGGATCCGATGGTTGGGCCACGTGTTGCGCATGCCAGCACACCGACTCCCGCGACGTGCATTGCTTGCGCGCCGGGGTTGCGGTTGGAAGAGGAGGAGGGGAGGCCAAGCGATGACTTGGTCGAGAGAGATGAAAACCCTCACTTCGAAGTTGTCGTCGGTTGGTGCATCCCGACTGCCTTGCTGGGGTCCTAAGGACGGTGAACTCGTTTGGTTGGACACACTTGCTGATATGGCTAGGAGCCGGCCCCAATGGCGTTTGTGTTGTGAGTTCCTTTGTCCATCCCCTCCTGCTTAGCATCCCCTCCAATCACGATCTCACTCGCTAGGCATAATATAACTCTCTTTTTACGGCACGTTAACCAGCTGTTTGCTCTCCGGAACGATGTCCATCCTTTACTGGGGACTCAGCGGGCGTGCCACTGTTTGTTTTCCTTTTCCTGTCTTTTGTACTGCGACACAATAGTTGGGGTGTTTTCCACCTTCAGCTAACGTGTATAGTGATGATGATGAACTGGACCTCAGACGTACCGGTTGCCCTCAGGAAGACTCGGAAGAATTGCACCCGTGACCCCGCTTGCCGTGCTGGGCCGAATTGCGGTGTCGCAGACTGGATCGCTATCTCCTGTGTCGCCCACTAATCTACAGAAAGCGAACGAACCTAGTGTTTTTAAGCCGATTGACCCCAGGCGCAACTATAGTGCCATAATTCTTTTGTGCACTTACACTCACGAGTCCAATTCTGATACAAGAAATGGTCATCTAATAACGAATCGTAATCAATCTGATTTGATCTGCAATGCTCTCAATATTCATGCTGCCTACACTGAGATGCATTGTGTCACAAAAACTCATTGGACTATGGTGAGCTTCGATTACTTCGGGTAACACCAAATTCCGCGGATGAGATGAAAGCAGTTCTCTTGTCTATGACTCGACTGCGCAACATATCAGGCGGAGTGCGCTATTACTGAACATCTGATGAAAAGAACGTTTATAGGATACGGACAATAGGATACGGACAATCACGACAGAAGTCGGATACACATTTATAAGAATACCGTCATAGTGCCAAGAGTTGCCCACAGATCTTAGTGGCATGATAACGAAGGCGTCAGCCATGAACCACTAGTCCGCGAGTTCCACCCAGCTCAAGTTATCTCCATTTGATTGTTCCAAACCAGGATGAAACCGGTCATTGGGTGTCAGTGTTGGGAGGTGCACCCCCGAAACACCTCCATGCTGTCATAATGTTTCTAAGATTTAAACTTCCCCTTCCTGCGTAGTCTATGCACATGCCGGGAGCAATGACGCTACATCCATGAGGCATTCTCTCTACAAAATGTTGTTGCCATTACCTTGACAATCGTCCCCAGGTCACCTAGCTAGGCCGGATGTGATCCCAGGTTGCTGAAGTTGGTGTTGCAATCTTAGCTAACGGTACAAACTCTTCCGGAGAACTAGGCTGAATTCCAATAGAAATTCGACTAATGGCTTCAGAGACACGCCCACTGGCTACTAGTTACTCAATAAAGGTGGCGAACTCACTGGAAATACCCGTTGTGGAGTCCAGTGCATCGATTGATCTAACAGCCGTTATAACATCCGAATGGACACTGCAGGCTACGAGTGTCCAGCAGGAGGGCCATTTTGATTTAAAGTGTCCGGTGCAGCAATGTATTCCGGCTTCACCTCGAATAGGAGCCGAACTCACGGTCGGCCAGGCCTCACACTTCCTGTCTACACTCCTACCGAAGTTTCAACATACTAGGCGGCCTTTTTAGCAAACTGATAGTACTCCGACTGCGTCGTGCCCAACTGTCATAAAGCATCATCATGATAACCGAGACATGGTTGTGTGAAGATATCAGTGACGCCGAAATCGTACTACGTGGGATGTCTATTCTGCGCGACGATTGACGGAATAGGGGAAACTGTCTGCTTCTTTACTACTACCGCAGTGAGCTAAACCTTAATCTCATCGACGACTCGGAAGTTCGGATTGTGGACGCGCTTTGGTGCCGTCTTCCCCCACAACGGAGCGAAACATGTTTACTTCAAGTCGTGCACTGCTCTCCGTCGTCTACTGTAAGATAGTTAACCGCCTACCCTTCACTTTGTGGACTTTTCTCACACGGTCACACAGCTACGTTTTCCTGCTTCTTGACTTCAATCTTCACGTACTACAAAATGGAATTACTTGAGCTAATCATTAGATTACCACTTTACCACCACGTTACCTCCCGTGCACAAGATTCAGAACGGGGAACAAACCAGCTATTCTGGATCTCGTGTTCACCAAGGGGGAACTTATGACCGAAACGGTGTCGACAGATAGTCCTTCGGGCCGCAATGATCATACAAAAATGCGGTTCAATAACACTGCAGAAAACGCCCATGGTTCTCAGCTTATTGCCACTTATGGCGTTCTGACTATACTCATCAATGCAATCAACTGGTCATTTCTGGCTTATTTATCCCTACATGTCGCCTGGTGATATTTGGTCATTCAATTTAACAAACAAGTAACGAGTGCTTCAAGGAATAGGCCTCCACGCTCTACGAGCTTAAAGCCATTCATACGCAGTGAAACTAAAGTGTATGGTTGCTATACATTTACTCTGTCGAATTTACACGGAGTCATCGTGCTCCAAAAATTGGAGGTCTACATTGCCCAAAGGAATCATTGCGTGAACCTGGTACGTGATGATAAAAGAGTATTAATATCATCCAACCTTGAAATTCTGTTCGAATCCTAAACTCATTTACAGGTATCTTAACATACTCCGTAGAATGCAGCTTAGAATTCATGTCCTACACACGTCACGTGAACACATTAACTGCAGAAGATACGACCAACACCTTACATCGGCAATTCTCCCCAAGCTTTTTGAGTACAGCTTCATCGCTTATCATATCCACGCGTTACACCACCATCATGGCCGCAGATGTACTGCGGCGGCTGATTTCCTTGCGCTAGCATATCTCTCTTGGCACTGATAATATCCGCCTAAAGACGCTGAATTGGGCTGCCACAATTTTGGCCGAACTGCTCTCTCAATTCTTTCAATGATGTCTACTATATGCGGGTTCCAACAGAATCCTTACTTTCATGTACGAGGACATAAGTGAAAATCCGGCCAACCACTGCCCGACAACACTCCTTCCGGTGATTTTCGAAGTTGCAAAATACAAATCGGTTATTAGGTTTTTTCATGGCTGCGTTTCGCTTTTGATGCAAGTGCATCAGGCCTTCCGGTGCTTTCCAAAGTCATTAATGTCATTATAGTCGAAATGTTCATGGGTTATTTGGAAAGATCCAGCGTCATAGCACCAAAACCGCATGTATTCCATCAGCACCACAAATCTGCTACTTGCTAGCTCCAGTTGGACCTAAACTTTCAACAGCGATGTGGGAGTTGACGCAGTTTATCTTGTCTTCTGAAAAGACCTTTAGCTTTCTGAACCACTTATTTTTCCACTGGCTTCAGTGCTGCAGTATTGGTGATCCAGTCCTGTTGGGTAGGTAACTTCAACGACATCTGAATGTGAGCTCGCTGCGACATATCTGACCCCACCGAAGTTTAGTGCGATTACCACAGGACTCAGTACTTGTTTTTTCATAAACGATCTCTCGTGAGGCATTACTTCAGATTTCTTGCAATTCCCTGATGATTTCAAGGTGTGGCGGTCGATCAAGACAACAGGTGACCACGTAACACTGCAGGATGATGTCGATAGGGTATACGAGTGGGTAACTTAGAACTCGTTTCATTTCAATTCAACCAAGTGCAACGCATTCAGCATGCGTCTTCAATCCACTTGCGAATACAGGCCGAGAGATTAAGTTTTGCATCGTACTTCTATTGAATGCGACCTAACAGTGATAATACAAGACGATCTTAGCTGGTCACGTTGGGCCGCGAACGCTTCCAACGAATCTGACCAACATCTCAGGCTCTTGCGGAGGCAATCAGGCGATTTCGGCCCTTTCATTTTCTTCCAGATTCTCGACGCATACATTTGACTCCATTCGGAATACGCCATCCATGCCTATTAGCCTTAACACAAGCAGGACCTTGCCACACTTGGAATGTCACTACATAGAGCGACCATGGGTGAGAAAAATCTTTTTCGTTTTTATTACCAATAGGCTGAAAATTTGTTTTCTGCAATGCACACTCGACACCTGCGTGGCGATTTCCTAATGATCTGTCAGTTCTTTAGGAATTCCAACCACATTTGCCGTCACTATCTAAAACTTACCCACATTGACAACCTGAGGAATCACCAACGAAAGCTGGCCACACAGTGGCTAGGATGATCTGTACCATGTTTTCTCTCCTTTTACCGGAACTCCGGTCTTTTTGCGAAGATTTTCATCCCGTTACTGCAGGTTGCCGACTGGTCGCTCTCTTTTTATTGGCCGGTCGGATGGGACAATAAGTTAGGCGCTTTTCTGTCCATACCAAAAAAATGGCGAACTTGGAGTTCAATGCTGCTGCAAGCTACTTGCGAGTATGCTTACCGCATCTACCTTCAAGCGAATCCACCGGTTTGTCTAACTGCGACCTCCCCCGGTGCAAAGCCAAAATTTGGATCCTGTCAAGATCCTCAGAACTACTAGATCGTCGACGCGCTGTACCCACCGGTGCGGAACGCAATGAACTCCGTCGATTTATCTCTCAACAGCTGAAATCAGGCATTCACTCTGACAATGAATCCTGGTAGTCAGAACGAGCTGCTGAGATGGAAGCCACTGCATCAGATGGAAACTTTTTCAGTTTAATTTACTTCATTAAGACTACCGGCTGCTATTCACACGCTATCAGTCAGACAATCTCTAATTTAGACTGCACGAAAGTCACCAACCTATAAAAATGATTGGGTCGTTCGGCAGAGAGAGCAACTTACTCTTCAATTTAATTGCCCAGCACAGCCTCCTGTGATATTTCCTTTTCCATCGGGTGGTGCCTGGCCAGCCCCCAGTGATAACCCTATCGATACAGATCTGAAGCGCAATCCAATCTTCAAAGCATCATGAAGCCCCCGACTTTGACAGCCTAACCCCGGCTCTATTCATAATAAGAGGAATGTACTTGTCAGCGAAATTCTATCGCTGTTCACGAAGGTTTCGACTGACGAGAAGGTTCCAAACTCATGGGCAGAATCGGTCCCAATTCACATGATTCTGCCAATTATCACGGAATTTCGTTGATCTCTGTTGCCCGCAAGATTTTCGTTTCCGTCGTGCTTCGCAGACTTTCAGCGACTAGAGGGCTTTTCTCGAAAAGAACAAGCCAGTTTTCGTCCAGGCCAAAGTTGTGTCGACCAAATCTTCACACTGCCAACTTTTCGAACTCCATCACGTCTACCGGCGAGCAACAATCGCGATGTTCTTGGACATCCGAGTGATATTTGATTCAGTAGACAAATCTGCTTTTGAGTCTGTCTACTAAGGAATGATGTGCCTGGCAAGTCTGTAACCGTCCCAATGGAACTTTACTGCCACTCGCCGACCAAAGTCAGAGCTTACGACAGGCTATCCTCTCCGCTTACTGTCAACAGCAGCATTCATCATGGTGGCCTTATCTACCCTTTCGTTTTCAATTTTGATATCAAAGATATCATCAAACGACTGTTGGAAGCTGTCCAAAACTGCGGTGTTGAGGTTGTGTCTGGCGACAGAGTCGCGGACTTGGATTACGCCATTGATATCCATTTGTTGTGGGATGATCCACATGCCGTCCAGGGCGCTTTAAACCGCTTCGCGATGGAGACGTCTAAGCACGGCTTGTACTTCACCCCACGCAAATATAAAACACTATTTTAAGATTGTCAAGTGCCCGCCTGACCTCACCATATCTGGTGGTGTTCTGGAACAAGTCTCTTGCTTCACTTATCTAGGAAGTTGCATCACAGTTGGCAGCGATGTTGGAAGTTAAGTCCTACTACTGATCTCAAAGAATCTCCCTGCATCCATAAAACTGAGACACCTGTAACGTCGTCGCGATGTCATTCTCAAGCTCAGGGATAGGGTGTATAACGTTTCCGTTCCTTCGGTACGTACGTACACGTTGGCTGAAAGTGAGCAACGCACTTCAGCAAATCTGCCGCAATATATCAAGATAATAACTATGAAAAGTGTGGTACAGAAAGATGCTGAATACAGTGTAAAAACAAAATAATAAGACGATGTTTACTATCATTTTGCGCATCACGTGTGAGAACCTGGTAGGAGGAGGAAGTGAACGCAACTCACAACACGATTGCCATTAGGGCTGGCTCTTCGCCGTGTCAACAGTTGTATCCAACCAAACGTGTTCATTGTCCTTAAGACCCCAGCCAGGCAGTCGGGAGACACTAATCGACGCCAAATTCGAAGTGAGGTTTTTCATTTCTATTGACCAACTCATTGCTTGGCCTCCCCTCCTCTTCTTCCATCCAAACCCCGATCACGCAAGCAACACATGTCGCGGGATTCGGTGTACCGGAATGCGCAACACTTGGCCCAGCCATCAGAGCCTGGTGCTGAGCGGCTTATAAGCTCTTACATCGTCAAATGCACTACGGCAAAAACGCTCATTGCTTACGTGGTGTTCTCATCAGATGTGAACTATACCGCGAAGGCAGCGATGTTCGAACATAATTAGCTTCTTTACTTTTGTTGATATGATGGACCAGGTTGCGCAACCGTACGGAAGGGTTGAACGGGCGACTACATTGCAAAGTCTGCACTTCATGGCGCGAGTGATGTCATGTCGGCCCCACAGGTGGCGGAGATTGGCAACTGCGCTTCGATCTTTTGCTGTACGGTTGATGATCTCACCTCCGATCCCACGGGTACTAAAACAGCTGCCGAGATACTTGACTTTATGGACGATCACTTGCTAGTCAGGGCAGGATTGTATCCCTGACAGCCATGGAGAATGAATTTACATTTCGAGGGTGCATAGCAAAGCCCAAAACGATTGACAGTCAGTACTAATTCATCCGGTGCTGCTTGAAAAGTTTGGGAGCTGTCACAGACTAGGGCAATGTCGTCAACGTACTCCAAGTCAAAAAGTTGCTTGCCTGGAAGCAGCTCCACATCTTCCCCCTAATGTCCAGTGAATGCAGTTTCCACGACTTCGTCGATGGCGAATTGAATAAGGAAGGGTGACATCAGGCAACTTTGCCTCACACGGTTAGATATTTCGAAAGGGGCGACAGTTTGCCGCAAACCTTTATTCTGTCCGAGCTGTGCTGTGATAATATCTCTGTTTCTCAGGTACATCATTCCTGAGTAAACAGTTCTAAAGGGCACCTCGATCAACCGAATCGAGGGCACGTTTTATGCCTATGAACACGACTCCGGTGGGTCACCAATAAATATGGCAGTACTCCAACAATTGGCATAATGTGAGGATATGATCAACACCGCCGCTACTTCGCTTCCTGCTCGCGAATCAAGCTTTTATGATTGCCAGTCACTCTATGAGTTACTACAGAGGTAAGTAACTTAGAGGCAGTTGAGATCACACTACCTCAGTATGTTTGCGTCATTCCGAACGTGAGCCTCCCTTGAGAACTGGGACTATGACGGAGCACTTCCATTCTAAAATGTTTTGAAATACTGGTAGCTCGGGTTGATGTATCAATTGTTCATTTATTCTCCGAGCTTGGCGGTTTTGTCGCAAACGTTTCGCCATCATGCGACGTGGCATCCTCAGTGCAGTGATATGTAGCATGCAAGCTTACTAAATAAATCCTCTATCCATGATCGACCTGCAGGTGACTTTGAACGTGGCAGTGTCGATTTAGGTCCCGTGACCTCTACCCACTTTCCCCAAGGCCTAAGTCGGCGCCCGAGTTGTTCTGCCTCAAACCGCGTGATACAAAGTTCTTTATTTCTTTCCGTCGTAGTGGTTCGTATATTTAATCGATCTCCACGCGCATGTTGATTGAGTGTTTCGTTGAGAACCAAGCTTGGATTCATTTAGTAAGCTTGCACGCTACATATCACTGCACTGAGGATGCCACGTCGTATGGTGACGAAGCGTTTGCGACAAAACCGCCAAGTTCGGAGAACAAGTGGACAATTGACATTTCCATTCTGCTGGGACAGTCTCTTACTCGCACAGCTTCACTAGAAAGTTGTGTAGATCATTCATGAGAGCCTGTCCTGCGAATTCGAAGAGGACTGGAGGACGTCTATCTGCTACCTCGGACTTATTCAACCCGAACAGTATGATCTCAAATTCCGCTCCTCGCGTGAGACGGATCCAAGGGGACGGCCCAATGAGGAGAACGATCAATGGCCGATAGAGAAGCTGGCAATTATGACTTATTAGACTGCTTCTCGAAGTCCTCTACCCAACACTCTAAACACTTTGACAAGTTGTGAATCGACTGTTCACTCTGGCCCACATGACCTTCCTAACATCATGTCTCCTGCCCGTTTTGCCTATCAGACCGAATAACTTCCGATGGTTACCAAGAGAAGCGGCTGTCCCCATCTCCGAGGCACGATGAGACCACCAGACTTGGCGGTCTATTTTCAGGCTAGCACCTTTTTTGCCCTCAGATCTTTGCGAGTCTCATTGTGTTCGCTCCCAGCCGAAATGTGTCCTCGAGCATCTAAAGTTCTACATACTACAGGGACCCAAAATCTAGGTTGACAATTTGATTTGCCACATGAAAATGCATGCTACTAATAACGTCTGGTGGAAATGCGACCAGTGGCCCTCTACTGTGATCAGAGAGCACAGACTCAGCTCAGATGCCAGTGTACACATACAGAACCTCTGGCTTCGCCAGTTGGCAAGTATCTGTGCGCCCACAGCGTCCCCGCATGCTGCTACCGAATCGAACTGTCAGATCGGCACAAATGAGTTCGTAATCAGAGTCTACGCTCTTGCCCCGAATCGGGTGACAGTTTTGGACACAACCTGTCCAAGCTGGTGGGCGCCATCTCCCACTTCGACGGGTTCTCTGTCTGAATTTAGTGCTCACGAGAAGTAGATGAACATATTCACATAAATGCAGCAACCGCTCACCGTTTTTATTACGCGAGGCTACACCATAATGGCCGTCCAGGTAAAAATCACTCGTTTGCGGTGTTCCAATTTGGGCGTTCAGACCGCCAGCAAGCACCAGAATGTCCGTACTATTCCCGTAACAAAGGATCACGTTCATTTGGTGATATAACTCATCTTTCACCGTGTCAACGCTACTATTTGTGGGGTCGTAGGCCGCAATGACAAACAAGCACCATTTGCCTGCTCGCGACTTCAATGCTTTGAATAAGCCAGCCAATCGGACGGCGCACATCCGGCTGTTGATCGGACCAGTGTTTCTGTATATATAAGAGATCTAGCCCGTTCGCAGAGAATACATTAAACGCTTGGCCTTGTTTGACCACTTGTGCTTGCGGAGTATGCCTCACGTCCGGTGGAAACGCCAAGTGAGCAATGCCGAGGTCCGCCGATTGGTTTTTCGCAAGAAGCCTTCTGGTACATCACTTTTGTGTTTGCTGAATTTTAATCGCTTACGTGGGCTAGGCTTTGTCCTTCATATGTCTTCGATAAGCATTATACGCCGTGGCTGCACCAAGTTGGGCGAAACCGTGAGGTGGTCAGTCCATGACGTGGCATAGAGGCATAAGGGAAACTAACTGAGACACTTGGTCAGGCTGGTGTGTCATCTTCGTGGATGGGGGCCTCGGGATGGTCCACACCAATGGTTGGAGATTCTATCAAGCATGGTGCAGTCACGCAGTCGGTGGCGTTCCTGTATTCGGTTTCTTGTATCTTTTTGTTAATTCTCGTTCCATCTCGATTAGTCTAACGCACTTCTCCGTTTCCATTTTCTTTACATACTATTTGGGTTCTACCCCACTATCTTGACGTTGTTCTTTGTTCTTATTCTTGCTGTGTGAGTCGTCGTAACTGCATCCACCGCACCCCTGTACTCGGATCCCAGTCAGTCAACTGTACTGATATCTACTCTACTGATATCTACTTACATATACAGCTATAGTTTAAATCGAGACCGGTAATGCCACTAGCACAAGTTATATTTATCTTCCCTTACTGGTTATACTGAACAACCTGTAATATCTCTCCGAACAGCGGGATATTCTTGACTTGAGCGGTTTGTTCCCCATATCCATTGCTTCAATGCAACGTGCGCACCCTGTTATCCTCACTTGTCTTTCTTCTTCTTTCGAGTCTCATCGGCTATCTCGTACACTTGCACTTGCTTACGATCGATCATTGCCGTTTGAGAGAGCTTCAGTACACCCCTGCGCAGGTCCACTGGTTAAGTTCAGCTCAATAATTGAACTCTGTTAGACCTTTCATTGATTGTGTCAATCATTTGGCATCTCCGGTTGGTTCATTAGCTCCACTGCGTTTAGTAGCTTTTTCACTATATATGTACCACCGTATTCCCCATGTGATATGATTCTCTAATGCCTTAGCTCGTCTTCGCGTTCTCGCCTACAGTCGGGGGTCTCGCTCAGTTGTGTTGGGTTTTGAGCAGCAAATCCGCGGCGGCTCAACAAAGTCTAAATCACTAATGGCGCGCAGTATGTTGTAAGCCTCGTCAAAAACCGGTGCAACTATACTCGATACATTGCTCTTCCGATCTGGCCCTTTTTATGACGTCTCGCAATTTTCCAGAGAGCGGAGATGTCTATTGAAATAGTCGTTGTTAACTCAAGTTCTTCGTTTAGACACCGAATCGTTCACTGTGCTGTGCGATTTTCTTGCAACAGAATTTCCATACTTGGCGAACAGTTTGTCCTCCAATCCTTTAATTTTTATTCAAGGATTTTTGTGACGGTGTCGTACAATCGCTGTTTTTGTAATTTTCTTCGACGTTGGATATTCAAAGGGTTGCTGCTAATCCCGTCATTTATCATCAGATGTCACGAACTCAATCCCCAAAGCACTTAATCAGTACCACAGAAGGTTAGATTCCCTTCTGTCTTATTAAGCCAAGTCCTCCATTCTCTTTCCCTAAAGAAAAATGCCGAATTTTTTTCGTCACTGATCACATGGTTAATGGTCGACGTGTTGCCTAAGATCAGGTGTCTTTGTTGTAACCCAAAGATCACCTGTTCAACTTTGCGGGAAACATTCCGGTATACGTTGCGACTGATGGTGGTCGCACTGCAGCGAAGCGTCAGTAAGACGTACCGACGTACTACTGATGCCCCGCCTGCTTTCATTACATCACATTATGCACGCATGCTCAGTAACCGTGCAGAGCAACATCAACCAAGGCCGTCACCAACTGGAAGGAGTTGCTGTTGGTGTGAGGACAGTGCAACGAGAACGATTTGTATAGTCTACCCTTTTGTTCTTTTTTGTGTTTATACTTCACTCTGGACCCGATAAGTACTTCTGCATCAAATGCGTTTTCCTCTTCGCCTTCTTTTTCAGGAGGAGGTGTATCTGTACTATGGGCTGTCAAATTTTTTCCAAAACCATCGTCGCTACATTTTATCCAAGGACGATGCACAGCTGCTTGGTGGAACCGGGCCGTTATCCGAGGACTGTGAACCGTATCGGTTAAACCCACAGAAAATCCCCTATGCACCATGCGGTGCTATTGCCATGAGTCTCTTCAATGGTTAGTTATTCGACTGGTCTTAAGATTCACGCGTTTTTTCTCTCGCGAATTGCACTGTGATCTATGTTTCCTTTTATGGGTAGTTTTTCGGTGATAAAGAGTCTAGTTGCTGTTATTTACAACCATCTTGGTAAGATATTTGTCTTGGTCTTCACGTTGGACATTGATACGAACTCTATCTTTCTCCCTCTTACTACGACTTATTTCAACTTGCTCCAGACCATCGCTGGATTTTATGCTCTCCCGGTTCTATCCATATTTCTCTTTTCTTTTATTAGATACATTTGTACTGAACTATCATGGAACTACTGATGCGCCCTTGAGTTCGCCCGTTACAGTACCTATGTCAAATCGAAGTATTGCTTGGCGTTCAGATGTTGACCGGAAATATGGAAAACCACCGGCGAGTTATTGGAATCGCACTGTGAAACCTGATAGTTGGCCGGAAACTGCCATTGAACGGTCCCCAGATGCTTATCCGGGTGATGAAGAACTTCTGGTTTGGATGCGTCCGGCAGCCCTACCAACGTTTCGAAAATTGCACCGAATTATCCCTTCCGGCTTGAAGGCAGGACGGTATACCATAGACGTTGGTTACGGTAAGCTCCAATCACGATTAGCTTATCTTCTATTCCATAACGCTTTTTATGTTTCGCTCCTGTAGGCACTTCTGAATATATCCCACCCCGCACACAGATCGTTTAATCGTTTCAGTTAACGTCTCCTCACGTTACGATTCGATTTCTCCCTCCTACCGATGTCCTGGGTGCCCGTTTATGACGCTCGTTGTCGGTGCAATGGTCATTCTCTTCTACTTTGAGATATGCTCATTTTTCATCCCTACCCACTCGATTCCCGTGAGATCATCCGAAGCTTTGACACTTTCTATCTGTTTGTTTAAAATACTACCATCATCCCACTTTGACACATTCGTGTTATATTCTTATAATCCCGCCATACTTGGCACTACATTCCACACAGTTCTGTGCATCTTATCATTGAGCTTCTCGAGCGTCTCTCGTCGGTAGCGACAGCAACTGTGCTTCCGATATTCCCACATTTTCAAGCATGTTGCTTTCCTCATTCTTTCGCTTACCAGCCTATCCGGTCACACAATTTGGTGGAACCAAACGAGTCATTCTCTCCACTTCGAGTTGGCTCGGCGGCAGAAATCCCACTTTGGGGATCGCCTACATCGTCGTGGGCTCCATAAGTCTTTTGTTGGGCATCCTGTTTTTACTTTTGCACTGCTGCCTACCCCGGAGGTAAGCCTCATCTGATTCGCAACCCGGTTCTTTTTTTGCCCTATCCTTCCCATCCATGTCACCGAAATTAATCGCCTTGATTGATTGTCTTTAACTATGACCTATGAACGAAGGGTACCAGAACTATTTCTTAACAGGGTGTAACCGCATTTTTCATCATTAGAATCCCCACGGTTCTTGCAGTTTTTGGATGTCCCACAACCTGCTTATTTCCAAACTTATATTTTATTCACATTTGGCACCAAAACGTTGTCCTCCAGAACGACACATTTCTACTCTGCGACATAGTTCATTTTCTTAGGTTTTATATTCAGCCGTTAGAGCGTATGGCCTCGTTCACTTGTGCGATTGCATCTTGATAATTTTACCTTGTTGCTGTTTTTTCCAAACCGTAGCATGCATTTTCTTGTCCAAAACATTACCGCTCTGGTCATATGTTGTTGATCTAATCCTACGATCTACGCTTCCATCTTCATCTCTACAGATGAATCACTGTTGAGCTGAAAATTCCTTTCGGTAAATCCCATAAGACTCAGACATTTATATAATGTGGGTTATACGGTAAATGTGCTGAGTTGAGCTACATATTGATTAGGACGTCAAATTTATCAGCCAGTTGGATTGCAAATTATGTAGCCCAGCTAACGTCCCCCATGGCGCAGTGGCTTAAGCCGCTGGTTACTTGGCATCCGCCTCTAGCGGTCATGGGTTCGATCCCCAGTAGGGGACCGAGGGGATTCGCACCACTAACGAGTCCCAATAGGGCGAAACGCGCGTCTGATGCTTTTCCGGACTAGCTTGTGCTATGTAGCTTGTGGACTACTGGGATGAGTACCTCAACAAAATCGATGAATCACGATGTCACTGAAGGGGGTTTATTAAGTACAATGTAAAAATAATTAAGTATATCATTTTCACGACCACTCAGAGGTTGACATGGGTGGAAAGCAAAGTGAATGATTATGTACTGATAGATGTGGGTCATGGTAAAAATAACTGTCGTATGCATTTCTGCGCGCACGGCTCTGGCTTGAGGTGGCGAATATAGATGGCCTCAGCAATGAATAGAAGATGCTTACAGAATCCGCGCGAGAATCTCTCACTTCTCAAAAAGGATTCCAAAGTTATCAGTTCCATCCCGAAAAGAATTCTCAGCACATCACTCTGATTCATCTTATTAATGAGAATTTTTTGCTGCTAAAGACAAGCATTCCCCGTGATTCATGCAACCTCTGTACTAAACGATACCGTGATTATATGCGTGAATTTCACCTCTTTCCCTTCCTAAGTGGTGGAGTTTTGATGGGAATTTTTATCACGCTGTGTGTGCCGATTCACCGACATCTGCTCACAATCATCGATCAGCAAGAGTAGGAAGCCGCATGACACGCACTCACAACCGGCCATCAAATTACTTTTAACACACTGTGTCTTTTGCCTGCTTTTCTTTCTTCCACGTCTAACTGACAGCCTTGTTTGCTAACTATTGCTCCGTGTCGTTCCATTGATCTGATTTGGCCAACCCGATGTGTTTCATCAGGAAACATTGGGTATCGTTCTCATCGTACATTTATTGCCATCGAAGCACTACCCGCTTCCACTCACCAGATTTTCTACGATCATTTTTCTTGTCGGTTTATCTTGAATCTGTAGATTATGTGTTTCGTTGAATTATTTCATAGATACATGACCTATAACAGTCCTCTGCCGGTATGTTTGAACGCGTCGACCCACCAGTTACTGGGGCTTTCGTATGACCGTTTAACAAACATTTACGGTCACTATTGTTGTCTATTTTCTACGAAGGGACGCGGACGCACCTGAGTTAGATGTATTCTCATTGTCACTATGGCCTTCAGCACATTACCTTAAAACTATGATGACCTAGCGATTGAGGAACAAAAGATGGGAAAGAAGCTTGGGCCTAAATTCCGTAAGCAAGCATTCCGGTGCAATATGCTTGTTACTTGTCAACAACGCTCGACTGCAGCCAGCTGATTATCTCACGAAAATGAAGTGACATCAACGAGACGGCTTTTATATGGCTTTCACTACATCACGTTATATTCCATCTTATCCCGCAAATAGTCCGTTATCATTCGCACCTTAAGCATGCAATCCGGTTTGGAACGACGACAAATGTGCCACCGGTGATAAATTCTGGCCATGTTCTTCAAAATCCGCAGCTACGTCCAGGGTTAGTCTTTCTGACTCTAGTGCGGACATTGCGACGAAACATTTACGCTCCGTTTAGTTGTCAGACACAGCCATCTTTTTATTCCTCCCTTCCGCGAGCCCTCAGACATTCCACTTCAGGTAAACAGAACAAAGCGGTCTTCTAAGAAACCAACTCGCCTGTCACCGCCAAGCACTCGTATGTGCAACTCGGTGTTGCAGACGCATTGGTGCTGTCCGGTGACAGAAATGTTACGCAGACGAAAAAGATCAAAGGCTGGAGGGAGTAAAGTTGCTCTCTGTCAAAAGCCTATCCGCAATACTAGAATAATTGACAACTTCTGAAACTGTCAAGGTTATCAATTGCAGTACTTAAGTTTTAAATGTTCCTCCTTCGTCCCGTTTCCTTTCACAATGCTTACTGTTTCGTTTTGTTCCCCTCGAAACATTCGTATGATTCGATCAATGCTTAGTGTACTGTCCCTTGATCAGTGCTGACCGTTTGTTGTTTCACCTATATCAGAAGCGTTCTCCTACCGACTGCATGCGATTTCGAGGCCTTCTTGTACATTTGGGAGCATCATGGAGAACAGAAGGTGACTTCTCCATGCAAACACTCTAACTAGGACCTTTTTCTCATTGTTGCTTCATTTTCCATGCCGTGGGAACGTGTCTCGTCTTTGAAGACAGTGTATCAGATAACTTGGCTGAGGTACTCGAAACTCGTTAGAACGTTTCCTGTTTAGTGACCATGGTCGTTCCTTCTTTTCTTCGCCTTCCAATTCCCTTCCACTGCAGTCGGAATGCGCTTTAGTTTATCTATTCACAGCTCATTTAACTTTACTGTCTCTTTAACATGGACGATTTCCTTCGGATTTCGGTCACTAGACGATGCATAGTTCTGGTCTCAGCTTCCATTTAATTGGCGTATACGTAGACAGGTCTCCAGAGATGTGAATTTGATATCAAGTAGCAGCGTGTATGAATCACGAGAAATGCTTATCTCTAGCAATCCGAACATCTACATTTGATAACATCGATAAAGGTGTTGGGTACATAATTCATTTTACAGAAGCGTTCTGATCAGACTCAAACGCTTGCCTAATGGTAGTTACATGTTAAATGTGGCTGAATGTTGACTAGTATGTTTACTTCAACGACCGAATCGATAAGTCACGCTGTCACTGTAGGTAATCGATTAATTACAAGGAAAACGTACCTAAGTACATCACCTTCGCAAATAATCAAAGGTTAACTGGGATACAAATCAAATAATTACTTAATGACATCGGCTGTGAGAGCGATGTACCAGGGTCTCCTTTCCTTTTACTTTTAGTAGTAACGTGATTTCTCAATTCAATCGTTGAATTAAACATCCTAGTCATTATTCACCCCAGCTCGGCACATTTTATATGTACTTCCACCTTCGAGTACTGCAGCATAATATACGGTAATATGAGTGACAGAATTCATGCGGAACACATGCAGAAGTCGTTTACTAAACATCTAATTGGTAGGCACTCTTCTATGAATTATCGCGAACGTTGGAATGAACTTCATCTCGAACCAGTTTGGATTGGACGACTGAAGTATAACTTTCGCTGTTTTACGACATGTCACAAAATGACCTATTCCGATCTGCCCATCTGCCTACACTCAAACTGCAGCATAGAACAACTCGAGAGCTTTGCAAGAAAGGTTTTACGCTTAATATACCAAAGGCTAGAACAGACGTGCGCTGTGATTTCTTCCTGGTCAGATTTATATATCTGGAATAAACTACCAATCATACTCAGGTCATTTAACAATGTGTCAACATTTAGAGGCAAACTGTCCAGTTACCTTGACCTAAACGATGGGTGGCATCCGGTTTGGGATTTGCCTGTTACTGCGGCCAGCCACAGGACACCTGCGCCTACAGATGGACCATGGGTGGTTCGCGCTGCACCATCCACACCTCATATCCAATGTACACCTGAAGGAATAAGACCGGGAGGCATGTGGATGGGAGTCACGTTTCATCAACGGAGCCGGTCCACACTCTCACAGGCAAACGCAAGCACGCTGTAGTTGGGAATCAAGTACACACAAGGCGGTGGCTGGACTGTAGTCCGCTCCACACTAAGTGCATGGAACCACTCTTCGAGCCTAACGTGGCCAAAAGGACCGTGCACCCCTTCCCATTCAGCAACGACCAACTGTCTCCTGGGACAGTATGAACGAGGGTATGTAACCTCAACAGTCTATTAACTAGACATAGAGCCAGAATAAAACCATGGAGATCAGGAGATAAGCAAGAATCATCGCATCATAATCATCGTGGCATGCTAGTTGAAGGTGAGCAACACACTTCAACTAATATGCCGCAGGAAGAATGGGAGTGGGTAATAGACTCGTAAGCACCTTGTCACATGGGAATAACTCCTCATTGAGCTGTTCCAGGAGGTGACCAAAACGTCTAAACACCCATGTTTCCAGAATTTGACTTTTGCCTCTACCATCCACCAAATCGCTATTACATGAATCGTATAGCCCCAGTATATCACATATGCATATCACCCATGCAAGAGCACGGTTACTTCTTTTCAAATTGGTCGGTGCCGCTGCATACGCGGTTTTTTGGATCAAGGGAAATAAATGTATTAATCTTGTTACTGCTATTATTATTATTGTGTAGTCGGCTAAGTCTGATGTGTGTTAACAAATGGAGTTCTTAACGCAGCACCTCACTCAGTTTGAGTAACGATAACACTATGTATCTAAAATCATCCTTTTTTGATTGGTACAAATCATTCTACTATGCGGCTTGATTACTTCACAGTCACCCACCGTCGGGTCTTCTTGATTGCCTCGTCATGAAGCGAATTACGCGGTCGCTTGTATTTAGCATTTTAAGTCCCTCGTCGGTAACTTTTAGTCATTAGGGTAGTATTGAAGGCTTGCGAAGTTTAGCACATTATGTTTACCACAATGTTCCATTCACATTATTCATCACGTCTTTAATCTTTGTACTGCTTTAACCCCAGTTTCTCTAGATTTCCTTCGAGTGTACCCTGGTGAGTTAAACAACTTATTTGTTCAAGGTATTCCATACATACTCACGGACACTTTCACGCCCCTGCTCATTAGCCATTCCAATGTCCATTTGTGTGCCACACATAATTTTGCGGTTATTCTGCCCACTTCCTGTCATCAAACTAACAGGAGAGCTTGCTGGTCATGGCTTGTCACCTCTTTTCGAACACTGGATGAGCACACGTTGACCACGCGACCCGTATACGTTTTGAGCTGTCGGTGTATTGGAACACAGTCCCACCTATCCATCAACGGCTTCTCCGCCATTTCTGCTATTCCAACTGTATTGTAGCCGATAATCAAAAGAGAGTCCGGATAACCATCACAAATCCTATTCATGAACCGTATGGATTATGTATACCATGCGTAACTCTTACTATTTTTTGTCATCGCTTTTCACTGGTCATTTACGTCTGTCATCTCATTTAAGGCATCATCAGTACGTCGCACCGACGCTTCGCTGCCACGCAACTGCCGACAGTCACGCGTGAGCTAACGATACCGCGAGGGTCGCCTGTTCCCCCGCGCAGACTCGAGCCTGCGATGTCCGGGTTGCGAGGCAGAGGCCTTGACCTTTCGGTCACTAGTAGGCTGTTTCATCAGTAGCGGCGATCATACGATTGTAAAAATACAAACATCTCCATGAGTCTTCAACAGTTGGCACAAAGTTGGATTCCTTTTGTTCAGTAAAGGTACTTAAGAGGCCATAGTGAAACCTGTCCACTTCCAATGCCGTGCGAACTTGGTCCTCGGTGTGACGACCACAGCTGTCTAACTGTCTCTTTGACCATCCTTATCAACAACAACAACAAATCATCCTTTGTGTTAGGTAGCACTAGTTTGCGGGTAAGAAAGATGTTTGAAGGCAAACAGGGTAGCGGCGATCCGTGCAATTCGTTAGGCGAATAAGCTGATGTAGTTAAGCCGCATTGATTTATGCACTTGATACGCATGCCTACCCACCGGTTACTGGCAGACTGGTGGTGTAATGGTTCATGTGCTCGGGTTGTAATTCACGAGTCGCCATTTCGAAAATGTATAAGTCTGAGTGGCCTCACAATATCTCAGCCTGCATTCCACCGCTGGGGTTTGCGTGGCATCGATGCGTGGACACGAGGCCACGACGTACAGCTGATAAAACCGCTTATTGAGGTAATTCTAGCTTGTTTGCAAGTCGAGAATGGCTTATCTTTAGAGGAATGATCACTCACATGACAACAGCAAATGCTGCGTCCGATCACTCATTTGGTTGCTGTTGTCCGGTTTCACATCACAGAACGTGCTTTGTATCCAGTGGCGTGTTTATTGCTGTCTGCAACCTTACCTGAGTTATTTCTGGAATATGGCTTATTGTGAAGCAGGGGAGCGAATAGGGTTTCTTAGACCATTGTCACCTTATTATCGCACCACATGTATCTTCACATGACCGTCTGATGTTGAGTGTATGCAAGCGCCTTGGTCCCGAATGTTTATTTATGAACCCAATCTACCCTTATTATTCCGTATAAGTAGCGCTCTTATGGTTGCAAAACAGCTGAGCAAAACTCTCAAATACTTATATACTTCTGCTGACAAAGATGCATACTTTTGACCGGAGGGTGATTCCTTTATGTGCTTGTCATCAAGAGCAGATAAGGTAACCGTCATTGAAATGCACAACGGTATGTACAGCCGATAGTGGTTTGTCAGCTGATATATGGCCAGGGAAGACTAAGTAATAAACAGGCGAACGGTCGGGTTCCACATCCAAAGAATTCAGGTAAGAAACCCGACTTCGCGGCAGCAGGAATGCTCTGAGGTTCGAGTCACGACTCCTGACTGATTTGGCACCCTGGCAGTATTCCATCTGCGGTTTTTCATGTTCCATAATCTTGACTCAGCGATTCAGGTAGTGAAGTCCAAGAAAGTGGCACCTAAAAACCAGATTTCCTCTCGGATCCAACATCCGACAGGAAACAACTGCGTCTGGAGGGACTAAGTGTATACTACACCTACTGGATGGGGCGAGTTGATGAGGACTTGCGGGCCTGTTAGTGGGGCTGCTACAATTGAGACCTGGCTTTTACCAAGCGACCGGCTAGTTGTTTTCACATGCTACAGAGTAGATCGGGTAGGAACCATGCATCAGCGTTACGCCGGTACGCCGTACCGACGCTTTCTTACTACGCCACCCCTGACAGTCTCGCGTCAGCTAAGAACACTACGAGGGTCGCCAGGTCCCTGACGCAGGCTCGAACCCGCGATGTCCGGGTTGCAATGCAGACATCTTGTCCTTTTTCCACAGGTCGGCATGGGCATCGAATTGTTAAAGGTGTCCTCTTGCCTATAAAATGCCAGCAAAAACATTGGTTGGCTCCACTTATCATGGACACACGAATGTCCAAGTAGTATCTGGGGAGTAGGTTAGAGGTTATGCCGCATCCCACATATTCTGATCGCCTAAGTCCGTTGGCCGCACTCTGCTCCGTCCAACTCATGCCTATCCTATTAACAGTCACCTCACAATTTGCTTATAGTATGCCGCTTCTATCTCGCTTTGTCCGTCTAGCCACCGCAATTCTGTCCCACCTGCGTGGGCGCGCTTGATTGGCTCTGTCTCCTCTGATCGTGCGTTTCTTACTTTCCCACAGTTGACCAACTGCTGCTTGTTTCTTCAACACAGCTTCGTTATCACCATCATGTCGTTCGTTAATCTCCCGTTCGCTCGCAGTCACGCTACGCTACGCTTCTCTCATACCAAGCCGAGACAATTCTACCTTGTCTCTCTGGCCCATATGGTCCCCCCACGTATGTGACACTTCATTGGCTTCCCTGTGGCCCTGTGGCCGGTCTTCGGCTTCATTCCTCCAAACTACCATCAAGTCAGTTCAAACGAAAATAGATCTTGTACACATAATGGATTGCATTTTCGGCACCTTGCGCCATCGTTATCAATGGGCAGAAGGGTGATATCAACAATAATGCGAAGTACATTGATTTGTATCCGGTGGCCGGAAAAAACGTGTGCGTACTTTGTAATCCTGAGGTCGCCGGTTCGTACCCGCACAGATGCGAGCAACCTTGATATTCAACTAGCCCTCGCGCAACTGGTGGTGGTTGCGCGCCATCGAGCCGTAGGTACCGTATGCCGTTGTACTGCCATTGCAATGAGGCTGGACCTTACCGTGGTGCGATGGTTTGCGTGCCTCAGAGATCCATTGAGCTATGCTGGGTGGTGTTTTTTTGCACCTTCAGAGGCACTCATACCAGATTGGTCAATGGTTAGAAGCCAGACAAACTCAGCCTCCTCGTCCTCCAGGTTGGTGGTTGGAGTGTAGGTGGCTCCTTATTCCATAAAATGGGCTCTCTGTGTTCCAGTGCCAAAACCCTGATGCCTTGCGGTAAGGTTTTTGAACCAAAGGTTTTGGTTACGAACCCTAATCGTTCTCCTGTCTAGGGCTGGGCAACCTGACAGTATTCTGCCACGCAATACAATGAACCTTTATTCCAACAATTTTTTGATGCTCTGGCCGTCGTATAGCATAATCAACGGCACCCTATCTGCTGCATCGAGAGCGTTGGTAGGGTTATGGATGCTACTCCTCAGGCCTTCCCGTCTTCTTATCCCTCCTATTACGCTTTTTCATCTTTATCCTCCCGCTCCAACTTTACTTTTATCCCCCCATTTTCAATTCCCCAATTCTTGGCCCTCCCCCCAGCTTGCTTCAATAGTCGCTTGTCTTGTAGTTTCAACTCACTCACAGTCGCAGGGCGTCGCTGCAATCCAGTCGACAAGTCCATGTTCACCCATGCGGACAACGTCAGTTTATCCGTTTCCCTTTGGAGTTCTCGCGTCTCGCTAAGACTGGCATGCCTCAACGTGCGCACCTTGCTGCAGATTGGCCAACAGGCAGCACTTGCCCGCACACTAGAGACCCTATCGATCGTATTATCAGAAACCCGCCTGCAAGATTCGAGCTCCGTGCTTACCCTGAGATCCCCCACATGCGAAACTTGTGTCACATTCTCATTGCGCCTGTCTGGCGATGGTGCATCTTCAAATGTCCGTCAAGCTGGCCTCGACATTGTTTTGAGTCCACGAGCTGAAGCTGCCCTGATCGATTAGATGCCAGTCAACAGTGGGATGTGCACCGTTCGATTAGCTGGTTCATTCCACGCTACGAAGTCGCACGGGGACAAACGGTGCCTGTTTGTCATTGCGGCCTACGCCCCTACAAACTGTAGCACTGATTCGGTAAAAGATGATTTCTACCAGCAACTTCACGATCTTTGTTACAGAAGAAGCACGGATACTGTGGTGTTGGCTGGCGATGTAAAGGTCCAAGTCGGAAAATTGTCATATGATGGGCTTCATTTGGCGGCCAACATGGTGTAGGCTCCCGTAATGATAACAATGATCGATTGCTACAACTATGTGAAGATGCTCGTCTCATTCTCGTGAGCACTAACTTTCGATACGGCACCCGCGGAAGCGTGACTTGGCGGCCACCAGTCTCGGGTCAGCTATGGACGCAAATCGATCATATCGCGATCAGTTACCGCTGGAGAGGCTGTGTCCAAAACTGTCGCTCGATTTGGAGCACGAGCGTAGACTCTGGTCACGCACTTGTCTGCGCCGACCTCCGGGTGCGTTTCGGTGGACGTCCGCAACGTCGATGTGAACGGATTGACATCAGCCAGCTGGCGAAGCTAGGTGTTCTGAATGTGTATCAAAGTGCGCTGATATCCGGGCTGAGTAAATACCCACTGAACACCGTTGAAGATCACTGGTTGCATATTCGTCAAACGTTACTATCAGCAGACATGTCTTCATGTGGCAAATCAAATTTCTAAACTGGACATTAACTCTCTCTACACATTTTCTGGAAGTTATGGATTCTCGCCGACGTATTCCGGCTGGAAGAGAATACAATGAGGCTTGCAAAAATCTCAGGGCAAAACTACGTGCTAGCCTGAAGAAGGATCGCGAAACCTGGTGGTCTCATCGTGCATCGGAAATGGAAACAGCCGCTGCCGTTGGTAGTCATCGTAAGTTATTCCGTCTGATACGGGAAACAGGCAGCAGGAGACCTGGTGTTAGCGAGACCATACGCGACGAGAGTGGGCAGCCGATCCACAGCCTGTCAAAGCGCTTGGAGCGTTGGCAAGGCAATTCAACCAACCTGAGTTATCGGTTTCTTTTTCGGTCATTGAGCGCCCTTTTCCCTGGGCCGTCTCCTTGGATCCGTCTTTACGCGCAGAAGTCGAACGGGCGATCAGGCTGTTGAAAGTGCAAAGGCCGCAGGGGCAGATAGAATTCTTAAAGCCGTCTTCAAATTCGGGGACCTGCTCTAATAGATGATTTACGCGAGTCGCTGCTGAAACTTTGCGAGCCGGAGACTGTCCGGACAGACTGGAGCCGCTCAGTCATTGTACCAATTTTCAATAGAGGTTCCCTTTCAGAATGCGGCAATCATAGAGGGATCAGTCTGATTTCGATTGCCTCTAAATTGCTTGCCTCTGTCATTCTCCACAGACTGACTGGCACTCTGGAAAGCCAGGTTCATGCAGAGCATGCCGGATTTTGTCGACCACATCTTCACCTTTCGTCAGTTATTGGAGCACCGCCATGTTTATTGGCGACCCACCGTTGTCATGTTTCTTGACATACAAGGTGCCTTCGACTTAGTCGATCAACGTGCCCTTTGGGACTGTGTGCTGAGGAAAGGTGTGCCTAATAAATATGCAAACATTATCAAAATGCTGTACGCGCATAGTTCGGGCATAGTGAGGGTTTATGGCAAATTGTCGCCACCCTTCAGTATCACCAGCGGTGGGAGACAAGATTGTCCGCTGTCACCTTTCCTCTTCAACTTCGCTATTGATGAAGTCATGGAAACGACGTTCGCTGGACACGACCTAGAAGGTGTGTATTTACTTCCTGGTGAGCGACTTTTTGACTTAGAGTGCGCGGACGATATTGCCCTAATCTGTGACAGCTCCCAAACATGCCAAGCAGCATTGGACCGATTAGCACTGGCTGTCTATCGTTTTGGGCTATTTTTTGCTCCATCGAAATACAAAGTACTTCTCCAAGATTGGCAGGGGCCCACCCCTGCGCTAACGCTTTGTGGTGATGTGCTAGAAGTTGTTCAGGAATTCATGTACCTGGGCAGCTATATTAGCGCCCGTTGGATCGAAGATAAGGTTACGAACCGTATAACAAAAGCTCGAGCTGCTTTTGCCAATCTCCGCCACCTGTGGCGCAGACGCGACGTCAATCTCGCCCTGAAGGACAGAGTTTATAACGCAGCCATCCGTGCAATACTCATATGTGGTTGTGAAACCTGGCCCACCAGGTCGACAGACATAGAGAGGCTCGTCACGTTCGATCATCGCTGCCTTCGCAGCTTAGCTTATGTCTGGTGGGAGCGCCGCGTGAGCAATGCGCGTGTTCGACGTCGCGTATTTGGTGCAGGAAGAGCGAGTGAACCGCTCAGCACCATGATATCACGCATCAGGCTCTGATGGTTGGGCCACGTGTTGTGCATGCCAGTACACCGTCTTCCGCGACGTGCATTGCTTGCGCATTGTGGGTGCGTTTGGAAGAGGAGGAGTGGAGGCCAAGCGATGACTTGGTCGAGAGAGATGAAAACCCTCACTTCGAAATTGGCGTCGGTTGGTGCATCCCGATTGCCTGGCTGGGGTCCTAAAGACGGTGGACACGTTTGGTTGGTGCCGTTGGTGCGTCTCGCCTTCCGGGTTGGAGCCCACGTGACTCACCTTGTGCTTGGCTCGAGACTTTACAGGACATGGCTCGCAACCGACACCAGGTTTTTAGGTAAGTCCCCCTTCTCTCCCTCTTCTTATTCTTTATTTCATAGGTCCTCATGGTTGTATGGCAGCGAAGCATCAGTTCAAATGGCTGATGTACTGCTGTTGATGATGATGACGTTTGGTTGGACACACTTGCTGATATGGCTTGGAGCCGACTCCAGTGGCGTTCCTGCTGTGAGTTTCTTTGTCCTTCCCCATCCCTTTTATCCTACTCCTCCAAGCACGATCTCATTTCGTCGCATAATATAATTTTACATTAAATTTTTTCTTGTTGCGTAGTAGCCGAATACATGCTTTCCGGAACGATGCCTATCCGTTGCTGGTAGCTCAGCTGGCATGCAACTCTTGTGTTTATTTTATTTTTTTCTTTTATGTATTGCGGCAGTAGCTGAGGTGTTTTACACCTTTAGCCAACCTGTATACTTAGAATGATGATGTACTGCTGACACCTTTAGCCAGGAAACAAGAGGTGGTTTGAACAGACTGCAATTTACCAGCACGAGGAATAGAAAACGTCACATGCTTACATTTGGAAGTGTTAGCAGTAGTGAACCTGAATGATTGTCATCTCATCAGTTTCTCTAATTCACCTTCAGACATCCAAGCTCCTCAACATAGGGAGCCGTACATCCGAGGACAACGTTGTTGACATATATCCAGTGAATGTTTTGCACGAAAACTTTCAATATATAAAGAGCTATAAAAATCGAGAAGATCACACAGTGCAGGGCATCGCTTTCGGCGCTGAGCGCGGAAGAGCACTTACTGATTACATGAATGTAATGAAGCTGATCATTGAACTAGCCACTCAACAATTCAGTTCAGATCAGTTCGGTTGAACAACTATGATCCAAGCATCGAAGTGCAGTGGATCCAGTTACGACGATTCACATCGCAAGAATGACTATTATTGACAAGGGCAAGATAGTGTAGTTAAGGGCAAATATAACGCAACAAACGAAAACAAGTGGGAAGTACGTTAATGCAATCAAAATTGAATGTAAATTAACAATCAGATGCAAAATACCGAATGCCGGAACGCCACTGACTGCGCGACTGCGCATATCTGATACAGTCTCAACCATTTGTGTGTATCATCCCGAGGCCCCCATCCACGAAGACGGCACACACCAGCTTGACCGTCTTTTAGTCAGTTTCTCCATCCCTCTGCGTCGCGTCACCGTCTGGCCACCGCGCAGTTTCGCCCGACTTGGTGAAGCCACGGTGTACAATGCACGCTGAAGAATCCGGTCAACGGGCATAGGAGGACATGGCCTAACCAACGTAAGCGATTAAGACTCAGTAAACACAAGCTAGCGTCTTCAACAGAGTCGAAAGCTTCTTTCAAATCAAGGAAACCCACCATAGTCGCTCGTCTATTTGTTTGTTTCTTCTCTAAAACTTGGCGGAGAGTAAATTTGTGGTCGATACAACCACGACCAGCCTGGCTTTCAGTGATTCGGTACCCACAGGACCGAATAAGTCTTCGGAAGATGATACCCGTGAGAAGTTTGGATGCAACGGAAAGGAAGGCTGATGCTTGCACACGTATGTGGTCGAACTTTGTTCCCAAAAGCAAATCGAGCAACTTAGATCCATGGATTCTTCCGTAAGCACTAGAATTGCCAAAAGATAAACCGTCTGGTTTCATATCTCCCACCCTATGTACATTGCTTCGAATGCGCAAGTAACCCTACGCAAAAATCCGCGGGATAAGTGATTTTTGGGGATTCGACATTCTGAATTTTGGGGGCTTTCTATAGCGCGGTTGTGCAAGCAGAGGAATGATACTTACGAGATTCCTTTTAGTCTTTGCTCTGACCGTTTTAAGTGGCAGCGATGATGCCTGTGGTAAAGCGCTTGTTAACAATATATCATAAGTAATGCGAGTTACTCAATGCGTGTTTAGGTCTACAGACATTGGAGCTTCCGGACCACTAACTCCATTAGATTTTGGCTTTCTGTGCTCGCTATGTGCCAGTAATCATTATGTGGATCTTTGCGAAGTGATTTTTCGACGGATCTAGGTTTTATTGCAGCTTGATCGGGTCTGGATTTCGTGAAAATACCGCGCCCAGCATTCATTGCTAATTTGATGATCTCCTCACAGACTGCTCATCTTTGTCGTAATCAGTCTCGCTGACACCAGGTTTTGTACGACTGGCAGTCGCAACCAGTTGGAAGTGCTTGATAGGACTCTTACATCAAAGACATCGGCGTCCACAGTGTAAGAATCTTAAGACAACCGTGCTTCACAATTACTGTACATACCTTATTCGACTCCGGCTGAGAGCACAACGCAGTTCATTACGGTCCTACCCCATCGGGCATTTCAACGGTGTGGTTCAATCATTTAACGAACTACGACCGTGAGTGGATGATGAAGCACAACAATTGACATCCATCTTTAAATGTGTATCCTGAGGTGAATCACCGTTGAATGCCTGTGCTCCAGCTCAGCTGGGTCGAACGATCAGCTAGTGCCCCGCCTGTGGCAGAGTGCTTCAGGCACATGACTTGAAATCCACACGTCACCATCTCGTGTTTGCTCAGGAGCGAGCGATCTCGTACTCCTCCTAACCCGTCCGCTACTTGTGGTGATCGCGTGACAGCCAAACATCACAAGACACCGGCGTACTACTGATGTCACGCCATAGTCTATTTACTCTAAGAACCCACCGAAATACGTCCAAACATTTAGATCACAGCGTGATTTGCCCGTTAGCGGGTCAAATTGCCATGCAGTCATGGCCGTGATTCCCTCGATACAATCGATTTCTTACCAGGCTTGCGTTAGCGATGGCGAACGCCAAATCACAAGCTCCATGCTAGTTTCCCTTTCTGGGCTCTTATCTTTCCTATGGTTTAATTGAACTACCCGAGTGGGATACCGGTAGTCAATTTCCGACTTTGTTGGTGTTTGCGTCATCCCTCTCTCTTTTCCTCTGTTGTCTATCACTGTTCATATATTCTCTTTCTTCTGCTTCAGATTGAAAATCGGATGTGCTATGATTCAACTATCCCCCCCTCTCCCACTCACACATATCACATGCGAACTTTTTCTCTCTCCATCAGAGCCCATTCACCGTTTACTCAGGTTGTGGTTATCCCCTATTTTTCGCGTATGTGTCGCCTATTGGATTTATTTGTAACAAACAGACGTTCCGTCTATGGTCTACATTCGCTTATTTTCTATTACTACTTCCGTTTGTTTAGGACTTTGCTAACCATCATTGACTTCGTTTGTATTAACTGCCTTCCAGTGTATTTTTTCATGCTGCTTTTCTTTCAAGATGGTATCCTCATTCCAGCTCTTTCCTACTATTTCCTCCCTTGTACATCATATTTTATCTGGATTCACTTCCTCATCGCACAGGAGAATTCATTTGGCATAGCGTTCCCTTTCTCATTTCATTCGAGGACTTAGGTTGTTACTCCTCGTTTTGTTACTTTTCAAACGAATAGTTTATAAAATACAAGTTTCAAGTAACCACCAATTGTGTTTGCCTGCATTCCTCTATTACTACTTCTGTACATTATCTCACTAGTGACCACCTTTACAGCACTGGGGCGCTCGACGGGATCCACTCTCAAAGCGTAGTTCTGTTCACCTAGTATTTCAATTCTGTGCTGTTACTAAGTCGCTGAGACTAGTACTGTGCTTACGAGTAACTTGTAACTTACAATGCTTACAGCTCCTCTAGAGCTACTGATAAATCGGCCTATCGATCCCGCCACTCGCCATCTAGACGATTTTATCCATGTTCTCTAGTTCTTTCTATTATCCACTTTTCGGTCGATCATCTATGTTGGATACTACCTCCTATCCGCTAGAATTTACATCCAACCGCTTTTACGACGAGGACTTTTTTCAACAGACGTCTACTGCCATCGTTTTTCAGTGCGAGCGTTATCCGGTAAATCCATACAGCAAATTCGCGCGGGCACCAATCGTCAACTTGATTTTAATCCCTGACACTATTTTAAGCATTCATGGGTGCGTGTTTCAGGAGGTTCTCTTAGTTCTCCATCACGAATACTGTAGGTATGGACAAACGTTGATCATGACTTACTACAACGTGAGATAATGTTATACAGGAATCGTATATCTTGTCGATCAAGTGAGTTCAACTGACCAGTAAGAAAAAGACACGAGCAGATTCACCAATCAGAGTGTAGCAGTTTCCGGGCGTCCATGAGGTCGCTCATTGTTTGGCTTTTGCTCCCTTACCACGTCGGATGCGATACCCGAACTGCACACACTAATAGCTTTATTTCCTTTGAAGATGCGTACCTTTACCGTTTTACATTAATAATGGTCTGTTCCCTTGAAACCGGACCTGTTAACTCGGCATTCTTCGCGTCACTGAACTAATTGCAACATCACCATAAGTTCCTCTGTGACTCCGTTATCACACTACTGTTATGCAGGCGTACCGTGTTTGGTAATATTGCTGCTTGATGTCATTGGCCGTGGCATTTGCTTGGAACCAAATCCTCCTGATACTTTAGACAAATGTTCAGTGAACCGGAACCACGGACTGATGTGTTAGTTTCGATTTGCAGATGGCTCTAGAAGAGGGAAGTTCAGAGAAGGGTACGTTTACCAACGAATTTTGCCCCAAGCCATTTTTCTGGTGGTGTGTGAATTCCACGTTCTACTATTGATCAATCGGTACCTCTCCATTCTAGGCGCAGTTCGTATGATTGCTTTCTTTCTGGTAACTTTTACCCGCAGCAGTGTGAGCTGATATTGGTGCCTGGTTAGTTGCATCGAAAAGTAGGTCGGAGTTCAAAAGGTACTCGCGTTAGCTGGAGTTTCCTATGAATCGGTTGGATTTATTACCTCATCGTATGTTTTTGTATTCTGCCCATGACTGCTGCCCCCACCTCTTATTTGGACAGTTGGCTTTCCATTGAAAAATACTACTCTCCGTTGAGAATTATGCTTATTAAGACAAATGACGAGACGGTTAGATAACTGTGCCGAATTGTTCTACCTCACAAGTGAGTGGGAGGACAGTCCGGCTCCCCGGTAGATCGAGGAATTTCCACTCAGCATTCAACCATTAACCGCACGAGTTCAGCATAAAAATGTACGTTCTGCCTAAAGTCCCGGCCTTGTCTGTTCGAGATTCATGAAGAGTGAAGACGTTAAGTTGTGCCACGAAATCGATGGCGGAGTGTCGTGGTAAGGTTTGAGGGCACATGTTTGGATGATGTTTTCTGCTTCTTTGGATTTGTGTGGGCTACGGTTATGCCCTTGCGCCCAACCGCTTTCTACTTGCGTTTAACCCTAACTAGCTGCCATACTTTGAGGAAACAGCTCATGTCTTCATAATCCACCGGGAATGCGTTACTACTTATTTGGTCAATCAGCGGAGTGATTCTCTTATTTCTCCTCTCTTATCGCCGTAATTGGTAAGATCGAGACTCCTTCATGTAGCATCAGATTTGGTTTCGTCTACGACTAGTGTGGCAAGCCTTGATTTTCTATACTTGCACATGTTTCTGATGGATGCCTGTTCCAAAATCCTTGCGACTCACCACACTTCGCAGTACCGATAAATCCTGTTTACCGAGCAAGACTACAGTGTGTCCATAAAGGGAGAGGCATTCTTTCCGAGTCTGCCTGACTCATCTACTTGTAAATCACTTAAATTTATGCGACCAGGCCGATTCAATATCATAACAACATGCACATGCATAATTTCGAGGATGAAATTCATACCTGGGCGTACAATCAATTGACCATCCGCAGTGTTAGTGTGGTGAAGATCGTGCATGTGTCTAGCTTAGCTATTGTCCGCAGTATAAAACCCCTTCTGGTTATTGCTATTTAGAGGACCGAATATTCGACCCACAACAGGTACCAAAGTGACGGCGTGTGTCTAGTACGATACCATTCCAACGAATAGTCTCACCTTAGACGATCATCTTCGAAGTGTCATGCCACGACCTGATCACATGTTGATGTAGAATAGCACCGTACTTCATTCCTATTGAACTTCCGACAGTACCATCGGGTCCGGATGCCGCGGTTTTTATACATTATCGCTCTAGTGGGCTACACTGCTTGGGCTTCCGCGCACCTTGTGAGCTGTTTCCCGACATGATTGTTCAATGCCTTTAAGCTGGGGACAAACCTCCTAATTTTCTAGGTTGATGTGCAGGACTTGGGAGGTGCCCACTTCCGTGGGAATAATACGTTTTGTGGACGGCTGCGTAACCCAATGCATTTAGTGCAGTTGGGAACCCTGCCTTTGGATGAATCGAGAACTTCCTCCTTCAGCGGCGCTTTCGTGATCGAGTTCGGGGCTCATTTTCTGAGCCAATTGGTGTGGACTACGGTGTTCCACAAGAGTCGGTGTTGGGGCTACGGTTCTTCTTGTTCTTCATTAACAATCTTGCGAGTGTCGTCAAGTCAAATTTTATGCTTTATGCCTATATGGAGGACAATTGACTGTCATGAAGATCACGATATGTTGCAACGAGACTTAGACTGCGCTTTTGAATGGTCAAAGCCAAACCTATTTAAGTTTAACACGAACAAGTACAAAACGCTGCGTATGCGCCACAAGCCCACGTACGCATATAAGCTTGGAAACGATATGCTGAAAACCGCCTCACAAGAGCGATAACTTGGTGGTATTTTTAAAATGTTTCGAAATACTGGTAGCTCGGGTTGATGATTCAATTGTACATTTGTTCTCCGAGCTTGGCGGTTTTGTCGCAAACGTTTCACCATTATGCGAGTTGGCATTATCAATGCAGTGAGATACGGCGTACAGTCTTACTATATGAATTCTACATCCATGATCGACCTGCAGGTGACTTTTGAAAGTGGCAGTGTCGATTTACATCCCGTGACTAAAGTCGGTGCCCGAGTTGTTCTGCCTTAAACCTCGGCTGTTCGGTGCAGTCATTGAAGGCATCCAAAACCGCGAACCAACATGTTGGGCGTTTGGGTGGTTCGATCCCTTCATTTTCCCTCAAATGCTCAATGCGTATGTGAGGCCACATGTAAAGTACGTGATGCGGACTTGGCAACCCTGGTTAAAACACGTCCTTGTTGCAATGGAGACCGCATAGCGGCGGGCAACGAAAATGCAATGCCATAAAATATAACATAAATAATGTGTCAGCTGTACGCCGTAACGGCGTTTCGCTGCCACGCGACCACCACCAGTCGCCTGTGGGCTGAGTACACCGGAGGACGCCCGCCGCTACGCGGATTCGAAGCAGTGACCTTATGGTTGCAGACCAGACGCGCAGACCATTCGGCCACCGGCCGACGTATGAGTGAGTGGAAGAGCATCAATGGGATACCGTCTTAGGATCCATTGTGCACATCATCATAGGCTGATAAGAAAAGGTTTGCTCCCAGTGACTAAGTGGTTATTGTTGTTGCTGTACGTATATGATGCCATTATGAGATTCGAGCGTAAGGAAGTAGCCACTGCTTAAGTATACCATGGCCAACTTCCAGTCCACAGTGGAATTACTTGTAGACAGTAGACAGCCTCTCTTGAACATACTACTGATCAGATATATGGACTGCGAATTACGAACGTCAGTTTACGCGGAAGGCATCCACGGGAACTAAACTCTGGAATTCAACAGAGGCCGCCCGAAATCCCACGCAATGGTTACTGGCGAACACTGTCACGCCGTCTGGTCACATGAAGTAGCTACGGAAACGAAAGGGGCGGAATCGATCCATCCGTACCGTTTCTTGACGCAATAGTTATCTACGTGATTTTGTCCGTAGGCACAACACAGCAAACGCAACACCTATGAGGACAGAGAAAGGGGTGCTTTTTACGATTAAGGAACTTACCTAGAATGTCAGGACTTGGAAAATCATGTCAATACGCTGAACAAACACCATTGAGGAAAACTGTCAGAACCAAACATCCGCACGAATGACAAAGTTGTGTGCGACATCGTTTCATAAATTATGGAAAGAACTGCGTAGGTAAAACAGGGAAGGACTTAGTAACTGGTATACGAGATCACAGAGTGCATACGGAAGGCATTGCAGATTCTCACTGTGCTCAGCACGCGTAGACAGTGGATCAGGGCACATGTCATGCCCTCGATGCACAGTCAATACAAGTATGGAGGTTGACATAGTATGACAGCTACTTAACCAAAAAGAGACAATGCGGATTGCAACTGGGAGAGAACAGTTCCGGCACTCCCCAGTGATTGCAATGGCATAGGTTTGCTTCTAAACAAACCATGGCTTCAATCGAGGCTGCGTGTCACAATCCAGGCACGCGGCGTGTACTCCAAGACCCCTCAAGTTAATTTAAACTGCTCTGACAAGCGATGCTGTGGAGCTCTGGCCTAATGATCAAGACGAAAACCACTGTGTCGGGTTCCCTTCTCAGATGAATCTATTTATGCCTGACGTGTCCGAATCAGGACGAAACTGGTCGGTCGTAGAATGCATTGTTGGGAGACAGCTTTTCTGAAACTCACCATAT